CTTGATGAAGGGGCGCTCAGAATTTAAATGCCACAGCCAGGGTGATCCATCACCAGGAAGGAACAGGGCAACTTTGGCAGCCGGAGCAGCCATTGGCTGCCGCCCTCACGTGGTGACCGCCTCACTATACATTCATATCATTTTTCTTCTGGCCCCCATGGAGGAAGTGAGAAAGTTGGCACGGTCGCCCAGGACTTCGAAGAGCCGGTCAATCGGTGATAGATGGACGCGGCGAGGATGAATTCCTTCCTCGATTATCCGCCCATCCTCAACGGCGAGTCCACCACTTGCGCCTCCCGTGCCTATCACCATCACCGCCACCACCACCACCCCGACCATGGGATTACAACCACCTTCCAGTCGTGCGCTGTCAGCGCCAACAGCTGCAGCGGGGATGATCGCTTCCTGGTGGGCAGGGGAGTCCAGATAAGCCCCCATCCCCACCACCAGGCTGGTACCGCCTACCAACATCACCCCAATTTGCGGATGTCCTTTTCACACCCCAGCTGTGGGTCCGGCTATGGCGCGCAGAACTTCAGTGCGGGAGGCTATGGCCATTACCCACTCAATCAAGAGGCGGAAATCAGTGGGGGCTACCCCCCGTGCGCTCCTACTATCTACTCGGGAAACGTCTCTTCCTCCATGGTCCAGCACCCCCAGAGTTATGGTGGGGGCACAACCAGCTCTGCTCAGTACATCCACCCCTCTTTTGGAGAGGAACAGCAGAACTTAACTCTCACTAATTTCAGCCACCCCTTGTCTCCTCTCCACTCCACCCACCCAGAAAACTGCGCTTCTCCTTCTTCAGAGGCTTCTCCACCAGCCCAGACTTTCGACTGGATGAAAGTGAAGAGAAACCCTCCTAAAACAGGTTAGTCCTCACTTGCATGGTTAAGTCACTCTGGACTTCGAAAAGCTTCCTGCAGTTCAACCTGGCTGTCTCAGATATCAGAGGGAAAGGGGTGCTTGGGTCCTGAAGGCAACAGGTTATCTTAAAGTGGACATTGCACTCTGTGATTGCACCATGGTGTTAAATGCTCAGGCTGAAAGGTATATGCTCCTGCTGGCTTTGAATCAACCTAGCTTGCCTGACCTACCTAAGTTCTTATCAGGCGAGATTGGCAGAGTGATATTCAGAAGCCAAGCATGTTGAAGTTAGTCGCTACTAATTCAAATAGGTCTTACTTTGGAGTAAACATGCATAGAGTTGGCCCAGAAAGCATCTTATTTCGCACCCAGCAAGTCCTCTGAAGTTTGTCTTCGGGTTGTGCCTTGATAAATGTCACCTATCAATCAAGGCCTTGAATCCATGCTTAATGCTGCAGGCTGTGATTGTGTGACTTGTCTCTGTTGTTGCCTTTTTCAGGGAAAGCTGGAGAGTATGGTTATATGGGTCAGCCCAACACAGTTCGCACCAACTTCACCACCAAGCAGTTGACTGAGCTGGAGAAAGAATTCCACTTCAACAAATATCTCACCCGAGCTCGCAGGGTGGAGATTGCGGCCTCTTTGCAACTCAATGAAACCCAGGTGAAGATCTGGTTCCAGAACCGCAGGATGAAACAGAAGAAGAGGGAGAAAGAGGGCTTGCTGCCCATCTCTCCGGCCACACCAACTGGAAGCGAAGAGAAGGCAGAGGACTCCTCTGAAAAGTCCAGCTCATCCCCCTGTACCCCCTCTCCTGCTTCTTCTACCTCAGATACTCTGACTACCTCAAATTGAGCCCTGCAGGTGCTACTCATTCTTCATTCCTTGGCCCCCTATGCACACCCCTAGAGTAGTTGATGGTGTCCCAACCCTACTTTTCTGAAGACTGAAGTGGGGTCCCCCACCCCACCCCACCCCTGTCTCGTCAAGTTGGGTTCCAGATCGAATTTTTTCTCGAGCAACTGACACCCCGATCCTGAAACTTGCTGGGACCAAATCTCATTGGTTTTCCTGGAACCTTCTTCCAAACTGGTGGGCATAATCCAGGACTAGTGAGTCACCTAGGGGAGGGAGAAATAATAGAAAGAGACTTTGTGGCATAAACCCGGTTGATATTCCTGAGATTTAGCTAAGGCTAATTTTGGCTGGATTAGGACCCAATGGTTCAGGATTGCAGCCTTATTAACAGACTGAGGGTGTCCTTAATTCAACATCAGGCTTTTTTCCCCTCAGTGCTAAGTACAAGGATTTATTTATGGGTTTCCCATCTCTAGAGTATTTGTGGGAACAGTCAAAAAGTGATTATTATCATAATGATAAAATTGATAGACCAGAATCAAGTTGCCAAAGAATATTTCTGTAGGCTTTCCTTCATGGCAGAGACAAAGAGGTTCACAGTTCCAAGAAGAGATGCACTATTGAAAGCGTTTACATGACTTCTAAAAAGTTCTTGCTTTAATTTAATGTACCTGTTTTTTCATGTGTATGAGTTGTTGGTTGTAAATATTTTGTCCAAGAGATTTATCTTTTTACAGATTTTCTAGAAATGTTTAGATTGATTATGAATTTAAAACAGGGTGGCTACATTCTCAAAACTTGATTCGATTTTATAGCGAAAAGCGAAGTTGTCACAATCGAAGAAGTGTTCAACTCAATCAGATACCTCAAAAAAAAAAATCATAGACTAGTATTCTTCCTCAAATGAGTTAGATAAGAACATTGAAATTGCACTAGATTTTTAAAAAAGAAAACTTGCTTATTAAGGTCTGCCCAACCCCACCATTTCCTTCCCAAAAATCTCTACTGGGTTATTCCTGACCCAAAATTATTATTCAGAAAATGGAGAGACCAGGCCTGCTCCCGACTTCCCATTTATCCTTCCTTAGATTTCTCAGCCGAACTTCTGAAGGTGGTAATTGGCCCAAACGAATGTATATTTCGTGTGATTCGTGTACGGAACTTTGCATGATGCACAAAGCTTTGATGTACTAAATTAACTTAACACTGAGTTCTATCAGTTGTCTTTTGTGATCGAGTGCTTCTGATATTTTCTGTACAATCATTCAAGGTTCTGAGATTCTGTTGGGAAAAAAAAAGAGGATGGAATCCAGAGCAGGATTTTACGGGTCCTAGAAATCTCTGTAATAAATATACTCCTATAGCAGGCTCTTATTTGCTTTGGTTCTTTATTGGAAAGGGGAGCCTGTGACTGAGGGTAAGATTCCCAAGTGTTCTAGTTCAGGCCAGAGGGTTTCAACCAATCTTCCCTTGTTTTCTCTCCCATGTTTGGTCCAAGCTGGATTCTTGCAACCTTTAGCTTCCAGGACCCCAGATTAAACCCAACAGGATCAGTGCAGAAGCTAGAGAAAACTTGCTGATCTTTTACTAGGAAAAAGAAGGGTGATGAACCAAAAACCAGCTCTTTTGGAAACACTGTGGTGGGAGCTTCCTGGGTCAAGTGCTAACCTTTTCACCCCAAACTGCATATTGACCTATGTGTAAATAAAGTCCTCTTCAAAAGCAGAAGCTGTCTTCAGCTGGTCTTGCATCACAAGCCACCAGTGAAGAGAGTCATATTTCCTTGTCCCTGTGGATCCAAAGAAGCCAGCTTCCCACCCCCCACCCCTCTTTTAAATTGCCAGAAAGATCTTCCAGGCACAAACTTTGGAAGGGGAGCCGGGAGCGGAGGAGAATCAGCCGGGCGAAGAGCTCCTCTTCCTGGAGTGCAACCCCAGGGGGTCCTGTAACCCCGACCAAGTTCCCTGCAATTGGAAAAACTGGTTTGGGGGGAGGGGAAGATGTCAGCTACTTGGTGAAAAACCCTGGCAAAAGCACACCTTTTATTAAAAACCTGTAGAGCCAATTCACGCGACCGACTTTCAGCCTTTCATTACGATTTCCATCACTAGTAGCATAAATATCGGGTCGTCATGAGAAAGAATGCAAATCCTCGGTTTCATCTCAAAGCAGCCGGTTTCGGTTTGAAAAGTTGTGTTGTTATTACGATTTCCATTTAAAAAAACCGCAGTCCTCTGCAGCTTCTTCAAGAGGCCATAAAGCAGGAGAGGTCGGAAGCGCGAAAATTTTGGGGGATCGCGCGCGTCCGAGCGTCAACGGCCTTCTTCCTCCCAGAACGTCAGTGTAGACAAGCCTTGATCTGCAGCCGCTCCGGCCCTACCGCCAGGGCAAGGCGAAGCCCCGGGAGAGCTGAGCCCGGTCTCCCAAGGCTTTCCGCCACTTCCGGGCAACTTCAAAGCGGGCGGAGACCCGGAGTCCCTTTCACCCTTGGCTCCCTCCACTCCCCCCCACCCCCCGCAGTTGGCTTCCTTGCCTGCTTTAAACTTTCCCCTCTTGTTGATTAGGGTAAGGCCCCAAAGCTAAACAAACGGCATTCTGCCAAAGGCTTTCAAGTGGCATCTACATGCCAATGGGGAGGGTGAGGGAAACCTTTCAGAGCGCTGGGGCTAGCTAAATTCTGCGACCACCTGACTCTGCCACCTCCTTTCTCAAGGTGGCTGGAGAAAAGGAAGAGAAGAACAAGAGCCTGGCCCCAGCTGTTTTCAAACTCCTTTCAGCAGCTACAGAAGGGTCCTGTGTCCTGCCTTGATGAGGGGGGGAAGGAGGGGTCCGGAGAAGGACTTTCCTATTTCAGAGGTTTCCTGGCCCACTTCCTTTGATCAAAGCCTTCTCCAGTCTGGCCTTCCAAATGTGTTGAACTATATCTCCCATCACCCAGCCACCACTCGGGTGGTGTTGGGAGGGAAAACGCTGGCCTATAGCTCCTAAGGTATTAATAAAAAGCACTGTTAGCCAGGGATACTTACTGGAGCAAGTACTACCTTATTTATGGAGCCATCTTTCAAGAATAAATAACTCATTCCCAGGTACACCCGAAGGCATTTATCTCTGAGTAATTTCTGAACCATAATTTTCCAGGAAATAGGAAGTTATATCTCTGAAATAAATCACTTAGAATGGAAATGATTTGAAGCCAGTTAACTGCAGAGGAAAACATTTGCCTTCACAAAGAAGTGACACAGATTTCCTCAAAGTTTGTTCTAGAGATTATTGATCAAAAGGTCCATCAACCAATTCAAATAGTTGACACCTCTCTCTCTCTCTCTCTCTCTCACACACACACACACAC